GGTTGCACAATCTCACCATTCCTCTTCAACTTTGCCATCGACGATATTCTGGAAACAGCTCTGATGAATGTAAGTAATGGTGGTGTGGATCTGTTGCCTGGAGAAAGACTTCTCGACCTTGAGTATGCGGACGATATTGTCTTACTGTGCGATAATGCCCAAGGCATGCGATCCGCACTTAATCAGTTGGCAATCAGTGTCCGTAGGTATGGTATGTGCTTCACACCTTCGAAGTGCAAAGTACTCCTACAAGACTGGCAGGATTCCAATCCTGTACTCACCCTGGACGGTGAACAGATAGAAGTAGTCGAGAAGTTCGTGTATCTGGGTAGCTGCATAAGTGCTGGTGGTGGTGTGAGTGATGAGATCAATGCACGAATAGTGAAAGCCAGAGCGGCTTATGCCAATCTGGGCCACCTTTGGCGCCTTCGTGATGTTAGTCTGGCTGTAAAAGGTCGGATCTACAACGCGTCGGTGAGAGCAGTTTTGCTCTATGCTTGTGAAACCTGGCCTCTCCGAGTTGAGGACGTTAGACGACTCTCTGTGTTCGATCATCGCTGTCTCCGAAGGATTGCTGACATTCAGTGGCAACGCCATGTCAGTAATGCAGAGGTTCGGCATCGTGTGTTCGGGCACAGAGACGATAATGCAATCGGTGTCACCATCTTGAAACACCGACTTCGGTGGCTTGGACATGTTCTACGAATGTCGTCCCTGAGAATTCCACATCGTGCATTATTTGCCGACTTTGGGACTGGTTGGAAGAAGCGGAGAGGTGGTCAGTGCATGACATGGTGTCGTGGCATGAAAGAAAGCTGCAAAGGGCTGGCTTCTGTCGGTCCTTCACGACTCCATGGTTGGGGTCTGAGAGATGGTGCTACACAGTGGCTAGAGACGTTATCAGATATGGCTCAGAATAGAAGCCAGTGGCGATCCTGCTGTAACCTTCTTTTACTTTCTTCATAAAAAGTGGTTGTGTCTCCCTTACCTGAAAGATTTCTTCTGATTGTACCTTTGCGTTCCCTGATTACTAGCACACTACCTTACACCAATCTCTTCGTTATTGTTCTCTTTTTTTTGTTGCGCTCCTTAGTTTTTTTTTGTACTTCTCTTCGAATTTTCATTGTTTTGTGTGGCGCATATATATTGGCGCTCTCTTGTACCAATATTCATGTGTTCAAATAAATAAATAAAATGTTTCGCTGCCATAAACTAGGACGGAACGAACCGCTGCGCAGTAAACACGTCCTTTGGTTGATAGACGGATATCTCGCCTACGACATAAATGACACAAGTTGGTAAAAGCTAGTCGACCCTACTGTATCCGTGCTGCGATTTCGTCGCACACCAGACCACAAGAGCTGATGAGAACCCCAAGATAAGTGAAGCGGTCGACACGCTCAACTACTTCACTTCCTATCATTAGTTCGGGTGTCGATGCAACTCAATCCTGAAGCAACATTTTGCATTTCGAGGGGGAGGATCACATCCCGAACATGCTTGCATTGTTGCTTAGAGTGGTCAGAAGACTCTGCGTTTTGTCAGCGTCTTCATCAAATAGAACTATGTCATCGGAATATTCTAAGTCAAAAAGTGAATCACAAGGTAGGAGTTCAACCGCTAGAAATTTAGATGAGGAAAGTGTCATCTCTAAAAGCACGTCCACGATAAAGTTAAACAAGAATGGAGAGAGTGGACAGCCCTGACGAACACCACTTGTGGTAATCAACTCTGATGACAGTTCACCATAAGCTCTCACTCGACCTGTTGTGTTCGAGTAGAGAGCCCTTACAAGGTTAATGTACTTCTTCGGCACTCCTTTCAGTGACAAACACTGCCATAGAACCTCATGATCAACAGAGTGGGACAGAGTCAAACGCCACCTTAAGGTCGAGAAATACTACGATTGTGGGGCGTCTGGATGTGTGTCCATGTCCTAGGATCTGACGTAGTGTGAATATGTGGTCTATACAACCACGTCCAGGTCGAAAACCAGTCTGGTTTTCTCTAGTCTACTCTTCACGAGCTTTAGTTAGACGTCGAGGTATTGTTGAAGCTAATATTTTGGACACTATATTAGTCAAACTGATTCCTCTGTGATTGTCACAAGAGGACTTTTGTCCTTTCTTATAGACTGGCACAATCAGTGATTGAGACTAGTCAGATGGGATTACGTCCAGTTCCCAAATTTTACCTAAGATTTCAGCAATCTCACTGCTAATACTGGACCACCATCCTTAAAAATCTCAGGAGTGAAACTGTCAGGGCCTGCTGCTCTCCCTCGCTTCAGATTTCCTATAGATTTCTCAACCTCGTAAAGAGTTGGAGGACTTACATCAACTTGCCATTCAGGTCTACTGGAGATCGTGGGAAACCGAACTGTGGCTGAAGGCCAGTTGAACTGATCCCTAAAATGTCCTGCCCATCGACCCAATCTCACGGATTAAGAGTGAATAGTGTGTCCATTTTTTTCCGAGAGAGTTTCACTAACAGTTGGGTTCCTAATACCAGTTTTCTTAACAAGTCGGAAGAGTTGTCTGCTATTACCTATTGCCTCTGCCTTTCCCATCTCTCTTGCTTTCGCTACCCACCACTGTTCACGATCATTGCGTAGGCTTCTTGTCAGCTTGCGCTTAAGCTGACTCCGCTCTTCGTTATGTTCACAACCAGATGGAATGAGTTCTCGAGCATCTATCAGTGCGGTAGATGCAGCTGAGATCCAGTGTTTCTCCCTAACCTTTTGGTTTACCATACTAGCAGATACCACTGCTGTTCCCCTCCATCGGTGGCTGATAGCGATGTGATCTATTCGGGTCCAACGTTGGGACGAATTAGGGGGTCGCCATGTCAAAAGATGCTTTTCCTTATGCTTAAAGTTAGTGTTTGCAAGAAACAGGAGGTTATCTGAGCATAGTTGTAACAGACGGTCGCCATTATCTGTTCTTTGAGTCACGACACCATAATATCCACGCAGGTGTCTTTCCCTTTTGCTTAGTTAACCTACTTGAGCATTAAAGTCATCATCCACTATTACTTAATAAGAGCGCCTAGCTTTTCGGAGGTCGGAAATCTTTCTGTAAAACTCATCCCCTACATCATCTGAGCTGCAGTCAGTGGGAGAATAGGCAGAGACGACGAATAGGCAACGACGAGTGTCCCTATCTTTCCGAGTCCTTACTGTCCCGTTTAGTCGGACAGCGCACAAACGACTATCTACTGGGATCCAGTCTAACAGAGCTAGTTCTGCCCTAGGACTCAATGCTATACCTACATCAGCGAGGCCACGAGAATCAGCATCAGAGCTTCCAGATACACGAAGCGTGAATCGAGTTGGTTCTTTATTTTGACATGGTGAGGTCAAATGAATGACGCTACTCGGATCCTGTATGCGCGTTTCGAAGACGCAGCACACATCGATGGCACGAGATTCTAAAGTCCCAACTGAGGAAGCCTGTTGTCCTATTTGGCACAGTGTTCAGACGTTAAAAGCTCCTACGTGTAGTTTAGAGAGTGGTTACAGTAGGTCAGGAATAACGTTCCGCGTACTCGAATCGTTTGCACTAGCGGTGAGAGGTGATAAAGGGACGTGAGAAGGGTTAGTCGTGGAGATAAGAGAGGTATTAGGAGGTATAGGAAGGATTTGAATGTGACCAACTTGGTCTCGTGTGCTGTTACGGGTATGAGGGCTGATATCACTTCCCGGCTGCCAACACCGTGGAAGGGTATTTCTTGAGGAACCTGAAAAGGAAATTGGATTAGTGTTGGTCTTAACGACCTGGGAGCGTGACCGCAGAGCCCAGCGGACAACTGCTTGAGGCCGGTTGCGCACAGCCTTTTCGTGGAAGGTTTTTAATGTTAGCTCCGTTCTTCAAAGGGCCTTACCGCCGGAGACGGAAATCCATGAGGTAAGGTGAGGTGTGACATTTTTAGGGTCGACCTTTTCTAACTCCACCCCTCCTTATGGGAAGGCAGCATCGCTGCAGATGCTGGTTGTCCGAGGGAAACACCTTACTGCTGTCACACCCCTCTACAGTCAGCAGTACGACTTCTCCCTCAGACCTTGAGTTGCTGCTTTTAGTCTTACCGTTCTCCAATCGACCTGCATGGCATGGTAGAACCTACAGGAACATATGTCCCAGCCAATATAGCTCGGTTGGGTCAATACGATAGCCCGACCACCATGTCAAGGTAGCAGCTACGGTTCGGTATATACCGGACAATAATCACCGCGGTAAAATTGTTATAAATTCATAATACATATGATTTTGCAAGATGACATATCAAAACTATTACTCACATGCCTAAAATATGTTTGTAAGATTACTGTGCTACATTCTTTTCACTGATTCCATACTGAACATTATAAATGCTTAAAAAGTAGACATAGGTGGGAGAAATTTTAAACCTTGCATAAAAGTGGGTGAGTTTACGCCTTCAAGGATCCAGGGGCAAATTACTAGTTTTTTGTCATTAACATTAGATAGTTAAATCTCATAAGAACAGTAAGAATTAGTCTATAAGGCAAAATCGGAATGTCATTGCTACTGCAGATTTCTAATGATCTGTGCATTTTCTACTGAGGAATTTAGTCAAATGACTGGTAATATTAAATGTCCACTGGTTTTACAAATGCAGTAAACCAGCTTTAAAATGGAAAAAGGACTTGTAGGTTAGGAGGATAATTTTAGTTGAGATAAGTTTTTAGACCTAGTAGTTTGAACAGATACTTTTTATCTGAAGTGCTAACGTTGTGGAGAAACAATAAAAGAATCAAATTACCCAGACTAGACTGCGCGACTCCAAGGAAAGTAAAATAGTTCCAGTGCTAAAAAGATTTTCATTCTTCACTATTCACACATAAGTCAATGTGAGAAACAACGTGTATTGTCACATAAACACTTCATAGAAATGAACTAGAATCGTCAGTACACAAAAATATCGACATTATTAATACAGTAGCCTATCGTCCACTAAATAATATTTATACTAACGAAACTTACCGATGCCGTTCTGGATCAGAAGATACCATTCCATGTGGGCCGAAGGTCAGTAAAGGTTCTACAGTAACTTCACTTTCTCTTTTTAGTCCAGGACAAAACTTGGTTCGAAGTAGAAGTTGGTAAAAAACGTTGGAAGGAATCGAGACTACCTTGTCTATTGGTTCGGGGAAGAGTCTAAGAAATAAACAAAATTGTCCATTGTATTAATGTTGAAATGATAAGCAATATATAGATATGAAGTTTAACAGTCACCTTTTTAAGGTCATAAATTCTCAATGAGAAAGTAAACAGCCAAAACTATGCTCATTTTAAAACAAACGTCATAAATATACCGAACAAGCCGAAATATTCACTGGAAGAATAAATACAGTAACAGAATTACACGTCTTAGCATTTCCACATTATATGAACAAGATAGTTCAGTTCGGTAATAAACTGAAAAAAGTGAGAATTTGTTGTGTGGAAACTTCCGTCTACATTTGTACAAATAATTTCACAACGGATTGGTGTTGAGTTTATGAAAGGGATTAACATGAAATTGTACCTCCAGAATTTCAGCAACTAACATTAAAATAGATAAAAATAATATATTTGTAATATCCCAATGAGTAGAAAATTGGATATTACAAATATATTATTTTTATTTATAACAATCAACCCAATGCTCAATTTATTCGAAATTATCAAATCAAACCTTGGTAATGACACCTATAACATTAAAATAGCTTGATAAATTGAGATGTTATCAAACATATTTTAAGATAGAAACCGATGGTGACCCTGCCGTTGTTTTTTATTACTTTCATAAAATTGATATCACTATTATGAATTGGAAGTTCTTCTTGGTTGAATTCTAACTGAAATTTATGACTGAGTGAATACTATTATTATTGATTGTACTACCCTTCTTTCATTTACTTTTTACAATATCATTTATGATGTATTTCTTACAAGTGTCCAAAAGTATCAGAAGTCGTTCTTTATATGAATAAAAATAATAAGTACCTTATGATGAGGACTTCTGAAATGTACTCGGATAGCGAATGATTGAAATAAAAGATATTGCCAAAATAAAACTATGGGGGCAAGTGAAAATCAATTTTGGAACAGGTAAACACATTAAATTAGAAAATGACTAATCATTCTGAATGTCAGATTCGGCAGATGAAAACAAAGTTTCAACCCACACATACATAGAAATATTAACACTAACAAGTTCAGCAAGCCGCATAATGATGGGTACGTTAACTTGGCAGAAATATATGCGGGTATAGTGACACTAATTTTACCGGAGGACAACCAACTAAAAATAGTGCAAACAATATGGAATAAAAATTTATGCAAACCTAGCGAACGCGAATACTGGACGATAATCGCCTCTTCTTCCTTGAGGATGACGTTGCAGAAAGCGAAGGTAGCACCAACTACACAGGATCCCGTAACAAAACAAAATACCAGAAGAGAGCCTGATAAACCCTACTGTCCACAAACACAAAAATGTAATCGACACAGCGGGGAGACCATATTGAGATTTAAAGTCAAAACCCCCGATCTTTACAAGCGATTGATCCATACTTAGTTGGATAAGAACTATGAGTACAGAAGACAAAAATGCAGAATTCCCATTGATACGTTTGACAAAAATGTTATTACCAAAGAAGATCTCTGGGAAAATCGCAAGTATTCCGGCACTTGTATTTACGAACCAATAGAAGAAAAGTATTTCAGTTCTGCTCCATACATGAAATACAAGCTTTGCATAAATAAAAATGGCCAGAATTGTAAAAATGAAAACACAAATCTCATCTGTCACTAAGTGAAAAGTGAAAAGCCTGTAAATGTCATGTATACTCGAAAAAGGAAGAGACAGTAAATCTACCAACAAAGGGACGAACAACCCGAAAATAAAGGATGAAATATAAAATATGCAAAGAAGTGATTGAACATGAAGAAGCTTCAACGATGTTATTCGCACCATCAAATGACCAAATCAGCTCTCAATCGTAAACACGGGTAGCTAAACAGCCTATATTAACTTTTGAAACCTTTACGACAGATACAACCTCCACTTGGAACTGCCTACAGACGATGATTTAACGGCTAACAATCCAACCGCGGTTAACGGAACCTTGTGAAGTAACGCACTATAATTAAACCTGAAACGTATGCTTAAGAAACGTAAATCTTTTGGTTCATCGAGGTAATAATATCATTTTCTTAGAAAATAGGCAACGACTTATGTCGTGTTATACACGTCCTTTTTTTAAAGCTTTGTGCTCAGTCTCACTTATTTCGACTTTTCTAAAATTTACCTAAGATAATGATCCTGGAGACTTAGCCTTGGACTTATAAATATAGGTGTTCCGATCGATTTAGAGATAAAAATTGTTCCTAGACAGATCTGACCGTTCGTACTAATAGATGAAGCCACATTCACTAAACCAGAATAATTTTTTCAAATCTCGGTAAAAGCGAGTTATTATTGCTTCATTCATCGATCTTTCGTGTCTAGTGATCAAGGATTATCGATGTCTTTAGACGGATAACAAAGTATATGAAGTGACTTAGTAACCTCAAGTTATTCACTTTAAATACGGAGATCATACTACAAAGTAAGCCTGCACTTGTCTTAAGTAGTATAGACCAACAGAATCATAAGATAATTGTTACTTTGATCCTGTTGGCTATTCTGTAAACCCTTACTGGCTTCTATTATCATATACCTGTATGCCTGTAAGGCTGTATTATTGCATAGAATCTTCGGATCATACATACTCAGACGATAATTCGTCTAACAATAAAATGATACATTAGTCCACACAGTTCACACTTCGTGAAATATATATAATGTTACACGCTTTGATGGCTGAGTCAGACTGTCTGATATCAAACCATCCCAAAGTACTTCATATTAGACTCCTAATAGATGGCTTTCAAGTGCATTCGATCATGCGAAAGAACTGTTTTCAGTAGTATGTGAAGTTAAAAGGAGTCTGGAACGGTTGCGACCGGACTAAACTACTAATGGCAAAGTAGAAGGATAGAAGTGCCAGGTAATCAGGTGCATCAGAAAGTCGTGTACGGAAAAGAAATTTTTGCCAAGCTGTCTACCGTATCTAGATGCAATAGATTACCAAAATCTCTAGTATGAAGCAAAGGTATAAAAACGTTAGGCAAGCTCACGTGAGACGCAGTGTTCTTCCTTCTAAAAAAGTTTTTTTCATGTGACACCGTATAAGTTTATCAGACTTCTTAGAGCTGCAGGAAGTTGCCCTAAGCGATTACCAACAATATGTAATCGGTGTACCGACAACCCAACCGAGAATTCTGAACTCTCAGTTTGTAAATATACCCCCTTACGTGGATGATATGACCAGTTAGAAAGCATTTTAGATGATTTCATAGTGTATTCATAATGTTATGAGTCCAGGTTAGGTTATATCCTTTGCTTTATCACTCACAGTCAATCAGTCAACTACAACGTAGGACCAGGCGCATATAAGCATTGGTTCAAGTTGCCACACCCGACCGTGGCTGCTACTTTGACGTGGTATTCGGACTTATCGATCGTAATAGGCTGATCAGGCTACCACACCAGGTAGATTGGTTGAAAAATGATAAAACTAAGAGCAGCATATCCAAGGTCCGAAGGTGAAGTCATGCTGCTGACTGTACAGAGGTGTGACGGCAGTAAGGTGTTTCCCTCAAACAACCAGTATAACAGCGATGCTGTCTTTCCACGAGGGAGGGTGAAGTAAGAAAGGCTCACCTTAAAATTGAACGCCTCACCTTATCCCACAGATATCCGTTCCTGGCCGTAAGGTCTCAGCAAGTGCAGAGCTACCTCAAAGGTTACTCACAAAGACGTTGTATGTAACAGGCCCCATGCAGTTGTATTTTGAGTACTGCGGTCACACTCCCAGTTCACTAAGACCAACTCTATCCCTATTTCTCTTTCTGGTACTTCTAGAAGAACCCTTCCACGATATGGGCAACAGAGACGTTATAACCTTCCTCAAACTTATAACAGCGTCTCAAAGCGGTCTGAGCGGATTTTAATCTGGTATAATAAACTGGTTTGGTGACCCGCTTAGTGTTCTCATGCTTCCACTTTGGATGAATATAACTGATAGAATATACATGCAACTCTTACTCTCAAACTAACAAATATGCTTCGCAATTATTTCTCTTAGATTCAAGCGAAAATCACTTTGTCAGAGCTTCCGAATTCAGATCGTACGGAGATGAAGTGTACGTCTCCTGTATCAGAGCTTGTGACATACAGGTATCAGAATTTTATGCATGATATCCATCATGCTGTAAATAAGCCGTATCGCACACTCAGAATCACAGTTTAACCTAGTACTAACTTTTAAAATTTTAATTTGGATATTATCCTCTGGAAGTTGTTGTATATCATGAATGTCTACGTCTCCCAAAAATTTTACTTTGTAGTAAAAGGACATTTCCAGAGGATAGCGCCATGAAAATGCCTTCTTTTCAAAATGAATAGATCCCATGAGTTCTATTGGGGTTCGTATTGTCTGGTACTTTCCACGGTAACATTTGTACTCCGTGATCTTAGCACTGACTTACCAGCTTATTTTACCATAAAATCAGCTACCTTAATATTCAATGATTCGACAATCATCTCTTTACTGACGAGTCAATGTCCGTGTACAACCACAGCAGAGTATTCATTGGCAGACAAGTTTCTTCCAGTCATTAAATACTGCAACCTATTAACTTATGACTCAAAACTCCTGCTATAAAGTACCTCGAAAACCTGGAGACAAAATTACGAATGAGAAATAACAATGTTCACACTACTCAGCTGTAAGTGATACATAAACAAGACAATAAGGGGATCCTTGAATTATAAAAAACTAAAGTTTTAGTCACAGAACAATTGTTTTGTGAACTGCCGTTTTATATTTTAACGAAAAAACAAAATCTCTGTCTATCCAAGCAAAGAGATGTTGCTAGTGTGTCCTGTGTTTGTGCGACAGTCCAAATAGGGATTGCCTCGAAAGTAACCATGTAAACTCATTATTTGATAACATGGAGTGATATGACAGCAGTAGTGCATGCTTTACAAAACCTTTCGTTTCGAAATCACGCAAAACTTTATGCGCTCGGTATTTCTTTAAAGAGTGCTAGTCATCACATATACTCATACACTAACTAATATAAGATTCAAAGGACTAGTTAGCGGGTGGCGGTTATTATGTGCACAGTCACTGTAACTGGATGTTGAACTGACAGGGATTTGGACCATGTTATCCCATTCATCATCAGCACAACTACTTAGAGTTAGATCTAAGTCAACATTCTTGAGAGGATAAACACCACCCACGTCGGGATTACTTTCTCCTCGGTTTTGAACTTTAGGAGATTCAGTAAAGTTTACCAGTGGTGGCATATTTCTAAAGTTACATGTCCTCTTAGAATTGGACTTAGTTTTGCCACTCTGGTAGTCTGTAACCAGCTCTTTCTGCTTTCCGCTGGCATGGTCTCCTATCTGGAAGAATTTTAATATCCTTGAAAATCTGATGTTGTCTCGTTGCATTGGAGAAAGCTAGAAACTTACTGGCATCCGCAGACTAGTTGAATTTGAACAAGATCGGTAAGTGCATACCAGGGTGATTTTTTAATCTTGTGCACACACATGGTACATGTGTCATGTTGCTGGCTTTAATAAGACTAGATTCGATACATTCAGGTGCATATGTGTTAGGTATATTAAACACAGCTGCATTGCTAGGTTGTCTTATTCTTTCAAATACCCTTGAAACAACACGATCTAGAAAATTATTTATATCATTCATTTGATCTGGAGTCTCTGTGAGGTTGGGGTTGATGAGATACTTAGGCGGATTAAGAATGTTCATGTCAACTTGGAACTTTTTTGTATCATCCATATGGTTGCAGTTGTGATTATCATCACTGTTTACCAATAGAGTCCTCAACATGCCCGAAATGGAGACAGCTGGTGTAAACTTGACTGCTTTCGGATGAACAAAGTAGTTCGTCTCGTCGAAACTGTCGGAAATCGTGTCGGTAGTAGCATTAGATTGTGTCGTCTTCCTATGTTTGACTGGACGCCTTGAAGCATGGGCATTCGTTTTCGTTGGTGAAATGATAAGAAAGTGATAAATAGCAGATGGAGTGAACGAAATGTTGGAAATAGAAATGAGTGAAAAGTCAATGCCGAGGGTTCAAAACAGTTTAGAAATCAAAACCTATGTTTGAAGCAAGGGTGAATATATCGTGTGGATTAGTGAAGGTATCAAAAACAAGAGGGGAGAATGGCAGTAAGATTGTAGTAAAGATGCAGTATGTATGTCAGTACATGTGTGGAGGTAAGATAAAGGTGCACATTGTGTGAATTTTAACACATATATTACACGGAAAGATATCCTCATATAAAGATTATTACAATCTAGGATTATTGTGGTACTTTGCGACCATATATATGAAACAGCTTTATGGATAAAAATACTTACCGAAATCTATGACAGATTCGCCGAATTGAACAGGTAATTTCGGAAATTAAATGAGTTATAGCATCCAAATACAATTTAAAGGATAGTATATAAAACAGTGAGTACAGTGCTTTGTCATACACGATTACATATGTATCTTGATATTAGGTAGAGGTATGAATAGATCCCGTGAATACATAAAGTACGTGGGTTATAGCATCCAAACAAGATATGAGGAATAGAATGAAAATATGAAATGCAATTCTTTGTCCAGTATGAGTATATATGGTTTCGCATATACATGGTTCTTGTTCGATCGTATAGCCAAAATGAATATGATTAGGAATTATTGTATGAATACGATCATATATAACATGAATATGTTGAATTGAGATCTTATCATATAGTGTAGAATTATGGTCTATTATGATATTGGCACTGCTCTTATAATAGACCTAATCCTAAATTTGTAGATTTGTCATGATATAACTGC